ACACACGCATTTCAGGCTTCTTACACATATAAATCAGGAGACTCTCCTGAAGTCACAGCTATCACTCATTCTCTTCCTGTTTATAATCAATTTGCCCATGTGTTTGTTTTAAAACCTATCGCAGAGGGAAGAGCTGAACTAATTTTAAGCGGATTTTTTAATGCAAAAAAACAAACAAACAAAAAACCACACACAAAAGAGAAAAGGGCAAGAATTTAAATTACGTGAGACTATGAATTCTTTCCAGATGATACAGTTATTTGATAGCACTAGCTTGTTCTGAAATTTCTCATTTGCAATTATATATGTGCTGCTTTTTTTTTTTAATGGTTTTGTATTCAGGAGATAACGTTCCAAATACACTGGTGGGGTTTAAAGGACTTACACTGGGAATAAAAATCAAACGAAAGTGTTTTTCCCAAACCCAAACTAACAGTGTCCCACTTCCGAATGCCCAAGAGACTGGCTCCACCATCATGGTTTCTTGGCTGGTCTTCCTGGGCCTAGATTCTAGAGTCTCAGCATTCTGGTTAGTGTCCTTGTAGGGCATCTCAGAACTCTGGCAGGGTTGGTGCAAGACTGGTCTAATATCTTGTCTAGTCAAGTATCCAGTCTTTACTCCTCGCTATCTCTACTAAAAAGGTCAGCCTGCCTCTGCTTGGCTACTTAAAGCACAGAGAGCTCACACCCCCTCAGGTGTTCCATTTCATCTGTAGACAACTTTGTAGGAAGTCTTTTATGTTGAACAAAAAGTAATTCAAGTATTGTGTGTGTGTGTATGTGTGTGTATGGTATGTGTGTATGTATGTGTATATATATGTGTATATGGTGTGTATGTATATGTGTGTGTATGGTATGTGTATGTGTGTATGTGGTGTGTCTATGTATGTATATATATATGGTATGTATGTGTATGTGTGTGTATGTGGTGTGTATATATGTATGTGTGTTTGGTTTGTGTATATGGTATGTGTGTGTATGTGGTGTATGTATATGGTATGTGTGTATGTATGTGTACATGTGTGTGCGTATGGTGTATATGTATATGTGTGTATATGTGGTGTATGTGTACATGTGTGTGTGTACCCGGGGAGGTTTGTGTATTATGCTCATGTGTTTGCCTGCTCATGGGCATGCAAGTGGAGGACAGAAGATCAATTTTGAGTGTCTTTCCGTAGGAGCTGTGTGTTTTGTTTTTAAGACAGGGTCTCTCACTGGAACCTGGGGATCATCAGTTAGGCTAGTCTGGCTGGCTAGCAAGCCTTCTCATGGGCATGCAAGTGGAGGACAGAAGATCAATTTTGAGTGTCTTTCCATAGGAGCTGTCTGTTTTGTTTTTAAGACAGGGTCTCTTACTGGAACCTGGGGATCATTAGTTAGGCTAGTCTGGCTGGCTAGCAAGCCTAAGGGATTCTCCTGTCTCTTCCTCCACAGTGCTGGGACTGTAAGTGTGTCACTATGCTCGGCTTTTTATGCGGTTGATGGGGATCAAAATGAGGTCCTCATGCTTATATGGCAAGCACTTTAGTGACTGAATTATTTCCCAGCCCTTTGTTGAGCATTTATTTATTTAGGTTGTTGTTTAAGACAAGTTTGTTTTGCTGTGTAGGTCTGGCTGTTCTAGAGCTCGCTGTGAAGGCCAGACTGATGCACACACAGCTCCCATATTGTTTGGGCCCTGGAGAGACAGAAGTAAGCACAATAGACAGAAATCCTTGTGATCTTGAAGCATGCTTCCAACAGAAGAGAGAATGAGGACAGAGGCCAGGAAAATGAAGAGAATAAAAAGGACGAGGCAGAAAGAAAGTGGATGTCAGGGACACACACTTGAAACTTCAGCTGCTGTGATGAGGAAGTCCTCCTTGGGAGACAGTTTTCTGGTGGAGTATCTGACTGAAGGGCATCCCACAATGGTTTGAGTAAATGTAAAATCCCCAAGTCAGCCGTGGGCTTACAGAGCAGTGAAGAGGCTACCATGTGTAGAGTGCTGCGTGCAGAGGTCAGGGGGAGGGCGGGTAGGACGTGTGGTTAAGACAGGGAGTGGGAACACGTGGCATGGCATTTCCTCTGAGAACGATGAGTCACTGAAAAGACCTGCTGTGCACGTACACTCCACAGGAAAACAAAGGGACTCCCAAGTGTTTTTAGGAGGCTGCTCTGGAGCCAAGGCCAGAGCTGGTGTGGGGGGGTGTGAGGCAAGGGGTGAGCGTTTGCTTAATGGTGCTCTTTAGGTTTCTCTGGGCAGCCGTGGTGTGACTGTCTAACACAAGGGGTCCTTTTCCTATACATGGACTGAAGCAGAAGCGAGACATGAGTCTTTTCCCTCCCACTCCCCACCTTTCCTCTTCCACAGGTGATCCTTCTAACGTGGGAGGCATATTTTTCCATTTTATGAGTTCTTGTAAAACAGGTCTGTTTCTTCATAGATTTCTTTAAACAAATGGTCTGTTTCAGACCACATTCTGTTTCTTCACATATTTTAAAAAATGTGTCTGTTGCTGAATGCACAGTTCCCTGCTGCTTCTAGCAATCTGACTTTTATCAAGGAGACCACTGAGCCGAACAAGGAGCAAGCTAGCATGTGTTTTCTTGAATTCTTCTCTTCAGTCCCAAGCTGCCCACTCCTTCCAACTGTCCCTAGGTGGGATGGCTCCGATCCTCCTCCTGACCAGTCCCTCCTGCTTTCCCTTGTCCCTTACCCCAATTCTGCACGCAGTCTGGGCTTCTGAGAGCAGCAGGCTTGTTGGTCTTCATGTCTGGATACCAGGGTCAGCAGCTAAGTAGGTGCAGGGTTACAGGACAGAGTGAGACCCTGAACCCCAGATGGGCATTTGCCTCTGTTTACATGGTTGCTTGATAGCAGTGGAGAAGAACTTAGGCTCTTGGATGAGGTAAACGTAGGTTTGTCTTTTAGTTTTCTTTCCTTTTAGTTATGTGATTTTGGAAAAGTCAGTCATCCTGTTGGAACTACATTTTCTTCATAAAATGGAGATAGTCACATTGCTGGTTTTTGTTATATTGAGCATAAACCTTTGGCCTAGAGCAGAACAAAAGCTGGGCTCTTCATAAGTACTGGGTGTGATTTAAAAATATATATTCATCTAGAGTGGGATTGTTGTTGGATGTGGTAGATTGTTATCCCAGTACTTAGGAGTCTAAGGCAGGAGGCTCTTTAATTTGAGGACAGTCTGAGCTACTGAATGAAACAGTCTCAGAAACACCAATCCAATCAAACCTCTTAGCAGGTATGTCCAACCATTTATCTGTGGGCTGCATGTGATCAAGAATCGTTCTGAATGTGGCCCAATACAAAATCATAAGCCTACTTATACAACATTGAAATTTTTTGGTGTGTTTTTTGGGGGGAGTATCTTGATTGTATAGTTCTTGAGTATGACCCTTGCAGTAGACAAAGTTATGTCAAAATGTTAAAAGGGTGGCTATGCCTGCTTCTCACAAAAATGAATTAAAGGGTTTTCATTTCTGTTGAAAACTGCGTTAAAATGGTTCTTTCTGGTAGCAATTTCTCTAGCACACCTATCATTTAAAACACAGCATAGGTGTGCTAGGGAAAAGAGAGGGTTTCAGTCTTCCTTTTCTATTGCTGTGGCAAAACACCATGACCAAAGCAACTTGTAAGAGAAAGCATTTACTTTGAGGTTCTTGGTCCTAGGGGGTAGTAGAGTCCATGAATATCATGGCGGGAGCACGGCAGGGAGTGGGCAAGCAGTAGGCATGGTGCTGAAGCCATAGCTGAGAGCTTTCATGTTGAGATTATGACCATGAAGCAGAGAGGTGGAGAGGGGACAGGCAGCCAACTAGAATGTCATGTGCCTTTGAAACCTCAAATCCCACCCCCAGTGGCACACCTCCAACAAGATCACACCTCCTAATTTTCCCCAAACAATCCCACCAACTTGGAACCAAACATTCAAATATATGCGCCAGTGGGGGTTATTCTCATTCAAACCACCACAGTTTCTATAGTGCTTTTCAGTAGTTTGGTCTATGGCAAGCTCAGGGGGTCTCCTTACAGCGTTTCCCAAAGCCCTCTGCCTCAGAAGCATCCCACTTCCTTCATCAATTCTATGTGGCTCCATGACTTGTCACAGTGATGAAAGAAAGAGTATGCAACATAAATCAATATGCAGCTTTCTATGGGAAAGGTTTGGTAGCAACACACACACACACACACACACACACACACACACACACACACACACACACACAGAGTTTCCAGATCACACTTTGTATAGACATACTCTAATACCTTCATGTTCTACAACACTCTCAGCCCTTTCTTCAAATCCCTGCTTCTTCTCTGATAAGCTGGGGGATCTTGGGCAGCTGATTTTTCTCTTCCTTCATTTGTGGAAATTTAAATGTTAGAAGATGCTATATATGTTTTATTACAGCAATTAGGTGTGCCATCACATCAGAAAGCAGAGTTCCAGGTACAGGGGTGGGTTTTTTTTTAATATTCGTTCTTAAACTTAAATTAGAAACAATCTTAATCTACATATCAATCCCTCCCATGTCCCCCACTGACTGCTCCCCCATCCCATTCCTACAGGGGTGTTTTTTAAATAAGTGGATCCAGTGACACTTTACATGAATTGTCTCATATGTTCTTCTCAACATGTATGTGAGGTGGTACTCTCATAGGTCGATTTTGTGAGTTGAGCATCACACCACACACCTGTGATTGCAGCACTTGGGGGGCCATCCTTGGTTATATAGCCTGTGTGACATGAGATACAGTTTTAAAAGAGTAAAACAAAAATAAAGACAGGAAACAAACAAACAAAAGAATCAAAACAATGTCCCAAATAAACACCCACCCTAAGCAAAATCAAAACAAAACTCAAAGCCTAACAATAGTTAAATGTTTTGTCTAAAGTTGGAGCTGGCGTCAGGATGACTCACAGTTCAAAGGAACTGCTTGAAAGTAGCCCCCACAATTTTCCTAAAGGCTTTTTTGTTCTCTCTGGTACTAACGAGTTAGCTGCGTAGGCAGCGACTTGATAAAGGGAAAATGAACTGAATCATTAAGCTTCCTTTATCGTCTCCTCTTTACAGACCACAAAACTGACTGGAGGAAACTCTACCAAAAACTTTAATATGGAAAAAAGGGAAAAAATGAAAACATCAAGATCCCTCCACAAAGCTCTGCAAAGGTCAATGGGATTAATATATCCTTTGAACATGGTTATTTAGCCGAAATAAGGGCACAACATGGGGGAAACGTCAGAGACTACTTGTATAATAGAAACTTAATGCATTTGCCCTTTTCTCTCCTTTTGTAGTGAATGTGTGGTTGTAGGAGGCAAGCTGGTTCATGGAACCACCCTGAAGAGGTGTTCTGGGAATCGGCTGATTGTCTCTAAATGTTATTTTACATTCTCAGATTCATGAAAATCATCTACTCAAGGTGCCTGGAAAAGACCGAGGAGATAATGGACAGGTAAAATTGATGATTAGAAATATAGAGAAAAATGTGTGCTCTTGGGGCCATGTGCAATGGCCTTTCATGTTCTGTGTAATTTAAACAAACTACCTCTAACTTACTTTATAGGTCAAACTTAATTTTTAACCTCCTGTGAAATGAAAATTAACCTTGAGGCAAATTCGTGGAATTTCCCAAGTAGAAATTAGAGCCACAGCAGACATTAACAAGTATTTCCAAAAAAAATGCATATATGGTTAAAAAGTTTGGACATCCCTGGGGTTGGCAGAACATCGTACTTTGAAAAGGGTCTCTCATGTGTTGATGTTGACTGTGGGCCACCTAGAATGCTGCAGACCGTGAGAAATTGTTTGATTCAGTAAAAATCCCCTTCCACCTGCACTCTACCTAATGTTTTACGGGGAGGGTGTGCTCTGGGGTATACTTTTGGAAACATCGATCTCCAGTTACAGTTTTCTTTTATGGTTTGGGAAATGAAGTTTAACAGAGTTTATGTACTTCATATTCCATGTCTGTATCTGCCTATGAGGTGTGACTGCAGAGTGATCTAAATTGCAGTTGTATGAGCATGGAGATATTGCATGAAAATGAGTATTGTCTTTCACAGTAGAGCCTGTGAGTGCGTGTGCAGTGTCTTAGCAACGATGGCAGCATTCATAAGAGTTTCAGAGTTCATCTTCATTCAGGTTTTCAAATAGCCACATGGCACAGCCAGCCAGGGACTGCAGAGTGACAACTGAGAAAGAGCAGTAGATTAGGGCACCTGAGAAACTTGGACTTCCCTTTGATCATCATCATGACTAGTTTTGAAACTCTTGAAGCCCAGCCTCTTCATCTGTGAATTTGGTCATTAGAACAGCTACTTTTCTGGGCTGGGTGTGGTGTTTGTGCCTGTAATCTCAGCACTGGGGAGGAGGCTGAGGTAGGAGGGTTATTAGTTCAAAGCCAATCTGGGCTATTATAGAGTGGGGCTCTGTCTCAGTCCCTATCTCGACCCCAATAGCTGTCTTATAGAGTTACTATTTATATTGAATGAAATTATGAGTGTGACTATGCTTTTTCTATTATAGAGTGGGGCTCTGTCTCAGTCCCTATCTCGACCCCAATAGCTATCTTATAGAGTTACTATTTATATTAAATGAAATTATGAGTGTGACTATGCTTTATAAAACTGAGGTTAACTGTGCAATTTCTATAGATTAGCCTTCTTTGAGGAAATTATTCTAATCTCTTTCTCTTTAGAGAGGGACTGGACTTTAGTTTGGATTTAAGTGTCGCCCAAAGACTCCTGTGTTTAGGGTTTGATCCTCAGCCTTGGTGCTACTGCAGGTGGTAGAAACTTTGAGATGTGGGCCCCAGGGAGAAGTCTTTGGGTTGTTGGAGTCATTACCTTAAAAAGGATAACTACACAGTAAACATGACCCTGAACATCCCCAGAAAAAATCTCATGTTTCCTATCTCAGTTCCTGTGGGTCGGGAGTCTGCACTTGGCTTAGTTAGGTTGTGTTTAAGGGCTGGGCCTCATTGGAACGCTTAGTGCTCCTAAAGTTGTCAAGAACATTGTTCAGACCTTTATAGAGATGGCTGTCTGCCTGCTTGTTGTGATGATATATTGTTGATGAGTTTTTAAAGCCACTGGAGATCAAAATAGCAAAGGAGTCATACCAGTTAGCCATAGAAACCAGGCACACACCTTTAATCTTAATGAGGATTAAGAGGTAGATGGATCTCTGTGAGTTCAAGGCCACACTGACTACACAAAATTGATCCAGTCCTAAAAGAAACATCTTACACAAAGGTGATCTTAAGACTTGGGAGGTAGAGATAGGAGGATATGGCTGGGCAGAGAAAGGAATATAAAGAGGAGGAGACAGGAATTCAGAGCCTTTTGCCTCTGAGGATTTGTGGAGACAGGATTGCCATTTCAGCTGAGTAGAGGTAAGATCTACTGACTTGGCTGCTTTGCTTCTCTGATTTTTAGCTTGAAGCTTGAACCCCAATGTCTGCCTTTGAGTCTTATTTATTATGCTACCACATGTTTTTCTCAAGCATGGCCTGTGATTTGCAGGCTGCCTTTGGCTCCTTGCTTTTCAGTCTACCCAGGGTGACTGCTTGCTCCCTCAAAGACAATAAGGACAAGAGCTGAGCAGAAGGATGGCTGATTTTGTGACTTAGTCTTGTAGATGTAATAGTTTCTACCCAGGAGCCAGCTCCAGACCCACCCTTCCCCTCAGTTAAGGGAAGGACATTACACTAGGACACAAGTACCATGCAGTGGAATTCGTGAGGAATACCTTAGCTCCTGCCTGCTGTGTTCTTACCTGCCAAGAACCAGACTTTGTGGGAACAAAACCTGTTTCAACCAGCATTTACATCTCTTTATGCTGATATTGAAGATAGCTACACTATTTCATCATCGAATTTCATCTATTCCAAAATGGGGAAAGTGTTTTCATGACCTCTCATTATCTAAAGAGATCTGAAAAGATAAACTCGCCTTTATCTGACTCTCCTTAACTTTGGCTTTTGAATTTACCACATAATAGAGGGGGCTTTCACTTCTCTTTGGCTGTGTAGGCCTATGGGAGCCAGTGTTAATGGCTTTTATTAAAGTCAAACGCAATAATTGGCATTTGGTATTCAACCTCATAAAATGGCAGAAGTGAGGAATAGTGCTGTGTCATCCTCACCTGCATGACAACCACTTTGAGGAGACCGAAGCACGTCTCAAGGCATCACAAAGAAACCGAACTTAGTAAATAAATTCCCTGAAGCATAAGGTTGTCATGACTTCGGAGTTTAGGAATGATGTAAATATCAGAAAATCATAGGGTCTAAAAATCTCTTAATTTACCCCGCAGAAGATAACTCTTCCAGTTGGACTTTAACTAGGGAATAGGGGAGTATAGCTAGCCACATGAAAAATGAAACTGAGCTGGAAGGGTCTTGCTTAGTTTCTACTCCGTAGAAATTGCAGCGAACCCATAATAAATACATTTAGATGCTGAGATGTCTCCCCGGAAGAACAGGCTCTGTGAAGATTTTTCAAAACTCCGATTCATTCCCCAGGATTTGCAGTCATGTTATTGATTCATTACTTTCAGTTCATTTGAAGCATTATTCATCTATGACTTTGCCTTGTGGTTTGAGTTCTACTGAGAATAAAATCTGCAAAACATTTTTTTTTCTTGAACTCCAGTTTTTCTTTTTTTTCTAAGGATGTCTGTGATAGCACTAACAGAACTTGGAGAGTTTTTGTCATGAGAAAGGCAAGGTTTGTGTGCACTGAAATATGATCCACTCCTCTTTGAAATGTTGGGTTACCATAGGTAGAAGGGGAAGTCTGTTTAAGTCAATATGAGGTTTCTTATAAATGTTACTACTGTTTGGAGAGATTAATATTTTAGGTTTATACTTTAAAAAATGTTACATCTTTAGAATAAATCAACACAAGGTCTCTCAAAGAGAAAAGCTTTAACATTCCCTATAACGGGAGATTGAGCAACACAAGAGCTAGCTCACCGTCATCTTAGATATTCACTCCTATGTCTGCCCTTACTTGATATGTGACCTTGAGGAGTTCACTTAACCCCAGACTCAAGCTTTATGGACAGTGCTTTTGAGATTCCCAATCTCATAACTCCTAAGGAGACAGAAAGGTGGCAACCTTTTGCAAACAAAGTGTCAGATTTCTAACCTCTGATCTGCTGGTATTTTCAAGGGATATTTGAAGTCACTCTGTGTTGACTCCTGTGAGCCAGGGTGAGAGAGGAAGTACCGGAATGATATAAAGATGAATAGCAAGTCCCGAAGGGGCAGAGGGAATGCCTTATTGATAAATTCAGCTATCTTTATTGAGTATCTTCGAGTGCAGGATCACTGCCCTGTATTATAAGAGGTGTAAAGAGGATTGAGATTCAGTCTCTGTCTTAGAAAGGCTCATAAGCTAGAAGGAAAGTAAGAATTGATGAGAAGAAAAAGCCTGAGAAAAATAATTGCAGGCAAGGCACGGGTGATTATTACCACTGGAAAGTGTTAAAATAGGTGTTATTATAATTTCCTCAGGATGATTAAATGAGTTTGGAGAGGAAGGTTCCAGAAAAGCCTTCATTAAAAGATGCCACTTGGCTTGAACTTTAATGGATGGAGAGGTGTTTGCTTGGTGAAAATGGAGGGAATGTGGCTTTGGGTAGCACACACACACACACACACAGAGAGAGAGAGAGAGAGAGCGAGAGAGAGAGAGAGAGAGCGAGAGAGAGAGAGAGAGAGCGAGAGAGAGAGAGAGAGAGCGAGAGAGAGAGAGAGAGAGCGAGAGAGAGAGAGAGAGAGAAAGAGAGAGAGAGATGGGGTAGGGGCAGGCAATGGACTCATGACTTAACAGCTACAAAGTTTTGGCAGTCCAGACAGGTTACATGCATGGTAGGGTGTCTGGCTTACATAGCATGCTGTACCTCTGAGACAGACTTGTTTTCTTCACTATGCCAATATGAGGCATTTGAGGGGGACAAGGGTCACTGGAACCTGTCTGGTCTTCTGTACTGACCCAGTGCGGTTGCATGGACCTTATCTGTGTAGTACAGCTCTCTCCAGTGGCGTTAGGGAAATGCTGACTGCCTTTACCACATCATAGCAGCAAGCATTCATCAGTACTCATATCAGCCGCACTGAAAAACCCTTCTGGCTTCTATGTGCAGAAAGCCACTCTCTGTTCAGCACACACCCTGAACATGAAAATGGCCTGGACCTCACATCAAATCAAAGGAAATGGGACCATATCCAGACCAGACTAAATAAGCGGAGAACATCACCTGTTTTATTATCCTGGTACCTATTACTTCTACAACCCCTTTGGACCTAACTGTCCATTAAATATCTTTTCCTAGAGTTTTTTTTTTAACTTTGATTTGCTCTTGTTTTCATTACAGAATTCTCTGCCAGCTGCTTGTGTTATCACAGCCCACATAAAGGCATGTGAGGACTAAGCGCTCTTATGCGATTTTCCTTGTCCTTGTCAATTGCAGGCACAACTCTCATGAATTATTTAGATTCACACTGTCCTGGAGTGAGCCCTGTAGTGCTTCAAGTATTCACAAGGAAGGCTCTTGAAGTTTTACCTCAAGGAATCAAACTTGTAGTGGTAAGAGAGGGGAGTGAAGTGCTGGAAACAGCTTGAAGCCTGAGATAAAGATTGCACCAAAGTCCTCAAATGAGGTTCTTAGTACATTTGTGCTTGTGGGGTCAACTCCATCATTTGTGTCCAATGGTATCTAACTTCAAAGTGATTTCTTTAAGGAAGAGGAAGATTTGGAAGTAAAAATACAACCACATGTAGCAACCACATCACCACCCTAACAGGAAGCATTAACAGGTGCTTCTGTGTCAAGGACTATATAATCTTGGGGGAGGGGTGAATCCCACAGATGGTTATTGTTTTCATTTATTTTTCTTTTGATGAGGAAACTGAAGCACATGGATATTAAGTTGTCAATTCAAGCAAGTGGTGGAGCTGTGACAGGCAGAAGTTTCCTCGCAGGCACAGAACACACAGTTTTGTCCTAACAGTTGGAACGGGAAGCCCAGAGTGGGTTTAATAAGGAGCTTGTATTGGCAGATGCTGTAGAATTCAACCCAGGTCTCATTTGTGAAAACTAAGCATCTAATCCCCTCTTGTTTTTAGAGAGGGATAGAGACCCTCATTCCCGTAGCTCCCGAGTCCTGAAGACTATCTGCTGGGTCTTTCTCTGGTTATTGTTATCAGTATATGGAAGCCAGAGTGCCTAAGACCACACTTCCTCCTTTCTGTAGCTAGAATTGAAGTCCCTGTCTATGGGAGAGTGTATCCTGCAGGGCTGTGCCCTTTGCCTTTCTGCTGGATAACCATTTCAGTTTCAGACTCTGACCTGCTCTTTCGGACTCACAGCCTTCTCTCTTCTGCAGGCATGGAGATCAGAGTTCTTCCCGTGGTCTTTGGCACACCATTGCAGCATACAGATGCTGTACTAAGACCAGTGGTGTGGTGGAGAAAGCCTCTCAGGAGGTTTTCTTTCTTTTCTGGATCTGGTGTTTCCTTTCCTGCCATGAAACCTAGAGTATTTTACATCACTTTACAGTCTCTGCTTTACTATGTGTCCAAAGGAAATGGTAGACCAATGTGGTTGCCGGGATCAGCTAAGATGAAATGTGTGAAACACACTGTGCGATACTCAGTTGGTGGCTGGCTCCTGTTCAACATCATTCAGGAGGTACCCGTAGCCAGGGGTGTGACCTCAAGAGGAGCTCTGCTTCTTAGAGGTGGGAACTTGTTCTGTGCTGAGACTAGTAGAGAAGATGCTGAGAGGGCCTGTGGCCTCAGTAGTGTTCCCAGTCCTCTTTAGTTACATGCTGTTGGTGGACAGCTATGCTTCACGGCTTGGCTTCATGGGAATTTTCTGGGCTTGATATGTGCTAACATGTTCATGAATTTATATAGACCTGCTTGCTTATAAACAGTCATCTTCCTGTTGCCTCCAAGATGTGGGAATCTCAGCTACCTTGCCTGTACGATGTCTGCTTTGCACACTGCCATGTTCTCCATCATGATGATAATGGACTGAACCACTGTAACTCTTACTATCACAGGGATCCCCAGCTCCTAGCAGTAACTCCAAAGTCTCCAAAGAAGATGATGGACCAGCCACCATGATGACTCCATCTGGATTGTGGTAACAGAAACTACTGGATGAGGTGAGACATCCCCAGTGCTGCACCTGCTGCCAGGACCCACCCCAAACTGTGGACAAGGAAGACACTGGAGAGTTGATTGTCCCACTTTTCCTAGAGATTTCCACTTGACTGACGTCAACCTGCTCCAAACAAATGCCAGACCTGGACTTGATGAAAGTCGATGTGAACCAGACCACATGTGATTGCTCCCTGTCTCTTCAGCTGGGTCAGCAAACCAGATGCTTCTGATGAATAGATACCCCACTGCCTGAATTCCCTCCTTGCCTTTGAATAGCATTTCAGCCCTCACCTGCTCCTGGCCCTACAACATCATCTTAGTTTCAACAGGAAGTGGTTGTTCTCCAACAGGCTGGAATGTTAGATCAAAAGAATAGTCCCTGGTTCAGGGGACAAAAGCTACTTATAGAACCTATTTGCATACCAGGAAAGGTACCTGTTAAACCAAATAGGCCCAGATCTATCAATAGGTAGATTCATTAACTGAAATAGTTCTGCATTATGCCAGGGCACTCAACTTGCTCTATGCAAAACAAAGGTTATTGTATACCTTTAAGAGAAAATTGTTGTTTCTATTCAAACTGCCCAGGAATCATTAGAAATAACCTGGTTGTACTAAGAAAAATTGCATAAAAGGGGACCTGGGATAAGTAAATAACCGATCCCTACTCTCATTTCCAGCTTCCATCTAGATAGTAACTCTGATGTCAGCCATCACAAGGCCTTTGGCCCTTCTGCTTCTGCTGATGGCTGTTGGCTCTTGCATCCTTGATGCCTTAACTAAGTGATAATTCCTGTCTGGGCACCATTAAACTGATGATTATTAGATCCCAATATAAACAGGTACCCATCACAGAGTCAAGGATTTGGCTCAGGATACAACTCAAGGGGGGAATGTGAGAGCCAAGTTACATTTTAAGTTGTAATTACTATGCAAAGAGGTCCATGAAACAAAAATACCTCTGATCTGCAAGCACCTGTCCAAGAACAGATAGTTCCTGAAATGTTGGAGTCTATTGTCTATGGGCGATAAGAAGCCATGTGTTTCCACTCCCCTAAACAAGTTTGTTTGATCCATCTGCATTGAACGTGCTTGATCACATGTGGGTAGGAGGTATACAGGCAGGAAGTACATCAGGATGGATGTTTGTCTCTGATCAAACCTCATGGGAAATATAGTGAATTACGGATTGCACCTTCTGAAGACTCTGCAAAATGTGACTTGGGGCCATTTCCTTATTCCCAGAGGCTTTTTCTCCATTCCCCCATCCCAGCTCCGTAGAGAGCTGGCTCAGTAAGTCTGAGCTGTCCTGTGGAAGGATAGACTTTCCCTGTCTTTTCCTCAAACAGGCACTCCTATACTTCTGTGATGTAGGGTCATGGAGCTGAGTCACTTGCTGTGGGTGCAGAGTCAGATCAGGTCAGTGGGATGTTGTAAGCTTGTGAGGAAGCTCTTGTGTATACTGCTCCTGCTTTCCTTATAGCTCTCCTACGAGCGTATGTTTGAGACAAGACCTCTTGTAGCCCAAGCTGCTCTTGAACTCTTGATCTTCTGCTTGCATCTGCTGGGTGCTGGGATTGGAGACATACATTCTCACATCTGGCTTATTCAGTGTGAAGATTGTACGTGGGTTTTACCGAACCAACTGAGTTAAATCTCCAGCCCCCTAAAAAACACAGTTTTAAAAGAAGCCTGCTACATTTCCACATACAGAGTTGAGCACATGATCAGAATGGCCATTAAGAATGAAGGAAAGACTATGAAGTTCAATAATTGAAGAGACATACTATCTTCCCTTTCTTAGGGTTGGTAGGGTTACTAGGTGATGTAAATGGAGGTATCATTGGATATTGATTAGAGAGAGATGCTGCAACAATAAATCCCACAATGAATTCCACAGCTTATTGTTAATCAAGAATGAGCAGTCATATATTAAGATCTCTCAGATATTTCCAAGGTCAATGTTGATAATGGAGTCCACAGTAAGACCTTCCCAGAAAGGAAGCACACACTCTTTTTTTTTTTTTTTGAATTAGAAACAAGATTGTTTTACATGTCAATCCCAGTTCCCACTCCCTCCCCTACCACTCCCTCCCTAACTAAAACCCTACCTATCACATATCCTTACTGCTCCCCAGGGAGGGTGAGGCCTTCCATAGGTGGTCATCAGAGTCTATCCTATCCTTTGGGATAGGGCCTAGGCCCACCCCCGGGAAGCACACACTCTTGATTTAACGTCCACTTGTCCATCTCTTCCCCTGTTCTTGGCTCTGCTTCTCTTCTTCCCTCCATCCAATGTGTGCTAGGAAATGCAGAACACTTTATTCTAAACAAAACATAACGTAGGAAAGAGAAGAAACTGGGAAAATAATAATAATTCCGTTCCCAAGTTTGTGGACTCTTGGCTCTTTGAATGCTCTCTGTCAGGATGCCCTCCAAACAGGGCTGTCAAGAACTGGCAGGAAGAAGGGCGTTTGCTGGCCTTAGTGGAAACACAGAAGCACTCAGAGAGAGGAAATGTCTTTTGTATCCAAGGAACAAACAGTAGTTATCCTCTCAGCATTTAATAGCCTCAACAAGGTGAAGGTTACCAGAGAAAGCCCAGAAAAATAATGTAGGTTTTGCCTCCAAAGCCTCAATTATCAAGGATGTTTGGCTTACAGACAAAAGGGCTAATTATTTTCCGAGGAGAACTGTTTTCTTTCTGTTTCTTCATCATCTTTCAAACCCATTTTTTATTGTTCCTTTCCATATTAAACATGTACATACTCTGTGTGTCCTCCTTATCCTCAAGTGCACATGTACACACACACACACACACACACACACACACACACACAGAGAGAGAGAAATCTTTCTGTGACCACAGTTTCTGTTCTGAAACCCAGGGAATTTTAGAGGGCACATCCTTTCACAGTCACTCTCGGCTTGAGGTGAACTCCACCTGGCAAAGGCCTCTGTCTGCATAATGCTCATTTCTGAGCTCACAAAGGACCAAGAATTGGAAAGTGCCTTTCAAAACACCTTTTATAAAAACCCAGTTGTAAGATCGATTTTGACCATGATTGGAGTGTTACATACCTATCTTAGGAAAAATGGAATTTAAATAAAAGAAAGCAGAAAATAGAAGGTAGAGGGAGAGGGAGACAGGGAGAGGGGAAGAGAATGGAGAATGATTTTCTCATGGCTAGGCCGGTACTCACAGGGCCCTGGTCAACTTCAGGGTCCTCAGTAGGATGTTTTGCAGGTGGTAGTTTGCCTGAGTTTATCTTTTCTCAGTCTGTATACTCATCAAATATTAAATATTTTATTCTAATTATGATCTGTATAACATGTTCTAAGGAATAAAGAAAACCAGCCAGCAACAAGTGGCAAGCAGTGCCGGAAGCAGTCATTTCCTCCAATCATTTATCTTACAAGTAAAGGACAATCGTGAAGCAATGTCATATACCTTGAACCCTAGTCCTTCCATAATTTTAACATCATTCTGATTAAGGCTTCCTCGAAAAGCCTAAATGTTGTTTAAATTCAGCTTTCTTAGCCAGGTGTGGGAGTGCATGCCTTTAATCCTCGCACTCGGGAGGTAGGATTTCTGTGAGTTCAAGGCCAGCCTGTTCTACATAGAGAGTTCCATGACAGCCAGAGATACATAATGAAACCCTGTCTCAAAACAAAACAAAACAAAACAAAACAAAACAAAACAAAACAAAACAAAACATCTCTTGCTTAACCTTTCAGGAGAGGATCGAAAAGTGAAGTTTATCTTCAAATTCTTCTGTTATCATCAATCCTAAGTTATGACAGTGCATCCTAATTTTTCTTGGGAATTAAAATAATCAGATGCCTAGCCCATCACTGGCAATTACTGAACAAGAATGTTTAGAACTTATATGTTCACATTTAGGAATTAAGAAAGGAATTATTTTATTTTACATCTTTACAGGTTTTGCTTGAATGCATGTCTGTGCATTATATGCGTGCCTCTCTGTACCGTTATTTCTATATTGTTCTATATGGTGTGTGGCCCTTCTATGCTGTTATTTCTATATTGTTCTGTATGGTGTATGGCCCTTCTATGTTGTTATTTCTATATTGTTCTGTATGGTGTATGGCCTTTCTGTACTGTTATTTCTATATTGTTCTGTATGGTGTATGGCCTTTCTGTACTATTATTTCTATAACAGTAACTGTAGGGGACAGTAAGCCACGCCTGTTGGAGGCTGGCTACAGGTGTGCCTGACCACCCCTGTTAAGGCGTGGTCAAGGTGAGGTCAGGATGACGCAGTATGGGTTCTTAAGGAACCACGAGCACATAGAAGCCCCTTCTTCTCCTTCCCCTTCTCCCTGGCCTCGATGCTCTGGCTTGCGTTTGGCTGGTATTTATCTCAATAAAGATATCTTGACCTTATGGATTACAGATTGTCTCCTGGATCACACAATACTATATTGTTCTGTATGGTGTATGGCCCTTTACGCTGTTCTTTCTATATTGTTCTGTATGGTGTATGGCCCTTCTGTGATGTTATTTCTATATTGTTCTGTATGGTGTATGGCCTTTCTGTACTGTTATTTCTATATTGTTCTGTTTGGTGTGTGGCCCTTCTGTGATGTTATTTCTATATTGTTCTGTATGGTGTATGGCCTTTCTGTACTGTTATTTCTATATTGTTCTGTTTGGTGTGTGGCCCTTCTGTGATGTTATTTCTATATTGTTCTGTATGGTGTATGGCCTTTCTGTACTGTTATTTCTATATTGTTCTGTATGGTGTATGGCCCTTCTGTGATGTTATTTCTATATTGTTTTGTATGGTGTATGCCTTTCTGTGCTATTATTTCTAGAGGCCAGGTTTTACTAGCTAAATTTGAAGCTCTGACTCTGAGAATTTCAAATCATAAAGTTTCCATGATTATCTATTAATCAGGCTGGCCAATTATTACTATTTATAAGTGGAAACCCTTTGAATTCTTCTTTTGAAGTCAACACATAATAAACTTCAATATCCATTTTCTTCTCTTTAATTGTAATATACTCTGGCTAGTAATAAATTATAATAAATAAATTGTAATAAATTCTGGCTAGTGAGGAAAAGGTCACACTTTCTAGCCTTCTTTTGTAGATAAAATTGATCATGTGACTTGATTTTGGCCAATGGGATTTGAAAGGAAGTAATTACACAAATCTGAACTGTGTATTTAAACAAAAGCTTGTGCCCCTCTCCTTTCTCTCTGGTTTATTAGAGACTCACAGTAGCAACTATGTTCTATACCATCTCATGTAAGACTTTGTATTTTTGCCCTTTTTACAAAAGTTCAGTCAGTAAAGTCTGAATTTCCTAGATCTTATTTCCTTAGTTTAGTGTCTGAAACATAACACATAATAATATACTTTGGGGCTGGCATCAAGTCTCTTGCTTTCTTTCTACTTCGGAAAGCCTGGCATTTGCACTCACACCTGTTTACTCAATAGCCTCATGTTGCCTAGTGCTTGTCTAAAAGCAGGAAAAAAAGGGATATACAGTTTCATGCTGTGGCAGATGTGTGAGCAAAGGGCTAGAATCTTAGGAGTCAGCACTGACTGCAACTTATTCATGAAGGTACAAGTTTTCTTTTCTTGGAACACAGTTGCATGACACTCCCTACCCTCTCTGTGTAGGCATGGTACAGGATGAGCTCTTGATTCGTCCTGCTAGCTCACTGCCTTCACAATTCCCAGGCTCCTTAACAATGCTTATCCCTCTAAATACTGTTTATTTTTGTTGTTTGTCTATTCAATCTAAGTTCTCTTGGAGATGATGGTCGCTACTGCTCTTGGAATCAGCTTCATGCCTCCTCTGAATTGAGAAACCATTCCTCCCTTGTCTCCTCTCACCCCATCACAATATTTCAACCATGTCCAACAATCTTCTTGCAGGTTGCATTTAGAGAGAAACTGTTGATTCGGAAAAGGAAGGTCAGACTAGCAAGCATGCCTTTTACTTCAGATGAGTTTTCCATTGTTCTTTTCTGTGGTATTGTTTTCATATACTCTTATTTCCAGTCTGACTTGGGCTGTGTGCCACATTTGTAGTCTTGAGAAAAGTATGCTCGAAAGAACATAGAAATATTTTAGAGAATGTTCTGTTTTCTCTGATAACACAATGCCAACTGAAATCTTTGTTTCCGTGGATTCTTCTGTTGTCCTTAGAGTTGCGGCATTTGTGTATTCCTAAGACTGGTATCCTTTTGTGTTGTCAGTATGTGTGTGTTTGTTGGCAGAACTGAAACAAAAACATGGAAGCAGTCAGTGAGTGTTCATTAATACAGTAGCAAATCTAGAAGTCCAGGAAGCATTTCTAGAGGCCCTTTCTTTGTGAAATAAGGGGGTGGTTGTCTGGTGTGTGTGTGTATGTTAATGTCAGATGATCGATCATAAGGGTTGCCATCAAAACACATTTGTCAGTATACAGCTTACTTTTGTAAGAGTATGAATGTATTTTAACTTTCTGCTAATGGAAGAAATCTCAGTTATTCAACTTGACTTTGTCTCAGTTTGGCCACTGCTTAGATGTCAAGGTCAATCCCACCTGCATTCTTCCCTGTTAATCTTTGCCCAAGTGTACTGCCTGTAATAGTTAGGAAAATGAAATTCCTATAACAAGAATCACTGCAATATATTCTCATTCAAACACTGTAGAGATTTTTCATATTCCAATGAGAGAGTCCTCACTCTCTCTTGACCTTCTCCCATGTCTTCTCTACTCCCTTTCTTTAATTTTTATTGTGTACACACACACACACACACACACACACACACACACACACACCCCACAAGTGAATACAGTCCGATGAATCTAATTAGTGTTGCTCAAGTATGTACATGTGTTTAAAACTGTCCCCTTGAGATTGAATAAACTATCAGGGAGTTCTATCTCAGCAAAGACTGATGCCTCCCCCCACTGCCACCACCACCACCACTCAACTCAGAAGCTGCACATTGTTTGCAGCTCTTTATCTAGGCATAGGGTCTTTAATGATATGGCTCTCTTTAATTGTAGATACTTGTCTGCACACTCTTCCCTGTAACATGAGACCCACTCATGCTCCTTTCCTAGCCAAACTACACATTTTCACAGCTTTCTACTCTATTTGTTACTTTTTTTTCATTGTAAACCTGCATATTGGCAGTGAGCAATAACTACCCCGACAACCTAACTGCTATCTGATCTAGTTCACTCTGTGGCCATGCTGACTGAGTAAGACTAGATGGTGTTAGGATTTGGTCAGAGTGAGTAGGACAAGGAAGTGGATATTGCTGAGAAGGTGGTAGACTCTGCCACCACAAGGGTTTGACTGTGCTATTCCCCTCCAAATCCTATGGCAAAACTTGATTCCTAGTGTAGTGATATGGAAAGGTGACGAGACATTTAAGAGACATTTGGATAAAGGATTAATTTCACATTCCAGGGATGGGGGTAATTGCCAGGGAGGTTAAGTTCTTGCTCTGATAGGACTGGGTTAGTTACCATGAGAATGGGTTGTTATTAAGTAAGGATGCATAGCATGAATAATGAAAACTCAGAGACAGATGTTGGAGTTAAAGCTGAAGATCAGAGAAGCAAAGCAGCCAGCCACTAGAGAGTTCTTACCTCTACCAATGAGTAGACCAAAGGGGGTAATTCTGTTCTCAGACTGACTCCAGACTGCATCTGTGTCTACCAAACCTCAGACTGTCTTCTGTCTAGACATCAATGAGTTCCTGTCTCCTTCCACCTTATACACCTCTCTCCGTCCAGCCATATCACTCTTGTCTCCACTTCCTCAATGCTGGGATTAAA